AATCTTCAGAATACTTATTGTCATCCACTTTGTTTTTAACTGTGAATGGCCGGGCTGATTTAAAAAAAATTGGTTCTTATTTCAAGCTTGATTCAGTTAATACAATGGCACTTGCAAACAGGTAAATCTGGAGAACTTAACCATCCATAGTGAATCCCTCTTGATCTGAAGTCTGTGTATGATATCCATGACACTGGTGAGCACCTTTCAGCAGATGTCTTTTTGTTTTAATCCTAATATAATATTGATATTCAGCACATTAGTGAATAAAATGATCTCCACGGTCATACTTATCCTAGAATATTCATGATTTTAAAGTGGTAGGAGACACCTCATTTGAGAATGCATTTTATTCTACTGGATTAAAATATGTGGGATAAAAATTAATAGACATAGCTGAGTCTAGCTATACCTCTTAATCAGTTGTGTGACTCTGAAAATGACAGAATCTCAGAATTGCAAGACCATCTAATCCAACCTAAATCTGAACAAGAATCCCCTTTACATCTTACCTGGCAAGTGGTCATCATACTTTAGATTTCTAATGTAAGTGAACAGATTACCTCCTGAGGCAAAGCATTCTCCCTTTGGATAGCTCTACTTCTTTAGGGTTTTTTTTTTTCCTTCTTAGCATCCAGGTTAAATCTACTTAGAGGAATTTTGGCAAGAGACAAAAATAAGCAAAATCATCTCTAGTAAATTTAAAAATAAACCTAGAAGGAGATGACAAACAGCAGAAAGATGGAAAAGATCTTTAAAAGAAAGAAAGAAAGAAAGAAAGAAAGAAAGAAAGAAAGAAAGAAAGAAAGAAAGAAAGAAAGAAAGAAAGAAATGAAACCCTTTTCACTAATAAGAACAATGGAACCCCCACCCTGTGTTGGTTAGCCTTTTCCTAGTTTTTAAAACTACTGATCATGGATGCTGAACCCTCTGACGTATGAAGCATTTAGGTAGATTTGACCTACATGACTGAGTTTTCAGCCCTAGAGAGACATTGTTGAAATTTACATTCAACAGTCACAAAGACAATTGGAAATGACTAGATCTGCTCGCAAAGGTAAGCTTTCTTCCCCCCCCCCCCCCGTCTCTCTCCAGATCCATCCGTCCTTTCTTGAAAGCAACAAACAAAAGAGCATTTGTTGTGATTTTTTTTTCATTTTTTATATTAAATTTTTAGTTGTTTAAGGTGATCACTTTGAAGGAAGGCTGCCTGTGGTCTTCCTTCTCTTTTGGATAATCAGTTAAGGAAGTGATTATTCATGGTCCTTTCCCTTCCCTTAAACAATTAAGAGAGAGTGGCTTCTTTCATTTTGGAAATATGAGATCATTCCCAATGAGAACTTGGGTAGTGACATCCATTAAACCGAGTACATGCTTACTCCTCATTCTTATTCAGAAATAATGCTCTGTGTGTGTGTGTGTGTGTGTGTGTGTGTGTGTGTGTGTGTGTGTGTGTGTATCATTCAGGGGGCTCTGTAGTGTACTAAGACTTAATGCAGTGAGCATAATGCAAGCAGGAAAAAATGGAGAAACTTGCTATCAACAGAAAAGCTCTGCTGGCTTGTGTGTGCACAATTTCATGGTGGGATTTTACTTTAGGTTAATGGGTGCCAATTTCTCTGGTTCAGTAATACACAAGGGAACAATAACCTTCCCTCCCTGAAGCCTGGAATAGAAAGAACTGAAAATCTCTGTGCCTCCCTGTTTGTCTTATTAATGAGATTCATTGATTTCTGCTAAACCAGTGTAAATGAAAAGCACAGGGAAGTAAGCTCTTGCTTAGAGACTTGTTTACTAGTAATTACTAGAAGTAGATAAGTCTCCTTGCTAAGCTGCATTATGCTAACGACTTTCTTTTTTACAGCTCTGGCTACGTAGGTGTTTTTTTTTTTTAACTGCATGATTGTAGTCAGAAAAAAGCTGTATTTAACTAAGGAAAATTTAGGTGAGGTGGTAGTAAGCTAGATGGTTAAGAGTGCTAGACTCTTAAGTCAGGAACATTTGGGTTCAAATCCTGGGGCAGACACTTCAGAGTTATGTGACCCTGGAAAAATCACATAACCACTTTCAGTCTCAGTTTCTTCATCTGTAAAATGAGGGTAATAATGGTGCCTATTTCCCAGGGTTATTGTGAGGATGAAATGAAATGTGCTTTAGAAATTTTAATTGTGAATGGCTGGGCTTTAGAAATTTTAAAATACTATATAAATGGTATTATTATTTATAATGTGCATACTTTTATTGCTAAAAGTGTCCCAGTTACACATAGCGGTGTACTGTCAGTGGAGTTGTGAACTGGTCTAGCTCTGTGGTGGGGAGCCTACGGCCTCAAAACCACACGTGGCCCTCTAGGTCCTTAAGTGCAGCTGTTTGATTGAATCCAAACTTCATGGAACAAATCCCCTTAATAAAAGGATTTGTTCTGTAAAACTTGGACTCAGTCAAAACGCTATACCCAAGGACCTAGAAGGCCACATGTGGCCTTAAGGCTACAGATTCCCCAACCCTCGTAGCTATTCTGGAAAGTAATGTGGAACTATGCCCCCAAAGTCACTAAACTGTATATATCCTTTGACCCACTGGTACCACTACTATAGTAATACACCCCTAGAGGAGGAAAAGAAACCTATAAGTACAAAAATATAACATTATGTTTTGTTATAGCAAAGAATGGGAAAACAAAGGGGTGCCCATAAATTAGGGAATGGCTGAACAAATTATGATATAGATGGCAATGGAATAATAAATATAATTTTGGCATGCAAAATGCCAAAGGAATGTGTGCCAAAAGGATTAATTTGAACTGATAGAGAATGAAATGAGCAGAACCACTTATAAATGACTACAAAATGGTATAGAAAAAAACTGTGGAAGACTGGAGAATTATGCTTAGTACAATAGATCAGACAATTCCAGAAGACTGCTTATGAGCCATACTTTTCACCTCGGAGAAAACCAGGTGATGGACTAGAGGGACAAGATGAGACACACATTTTCGCCCAATGTCTGGATCCATTGTGGTTTTTAATATACGTATTTGTTACAAAGGAAGGCTTTTATTTGGCGGGGGCGGGGGGGTGGAACACGAAGAAGAGGAGAGCTATGGAAACGATTTGTTGGGGGAGTAGTGATATCAAAAAAAAAGGGAAAGAAAGAAAGGAGCATCAATGAGACAGTTAAAAAAGAGGAAAAAGAGAATTTGAGGAGATACAAGGAAGCAAGGGCAATGTTGAAGCTACTAAGTTACTTATATTATCTACTATTTTTAGAAAGTTATCCATATAATAGAGAATCAGTGTCATATGCAATCCTCCTAATCTGTACTTGTTTGTGTAAGGAAATGTTCATGCTTATTGATGTTTGTCAAATTAATGTTAGTAAAAAAAGGAAATTGAAAAAATAATAACCCAGGTGGAAATAGGCAGTGGTAGAAAGATTGTAGAAATAAAGGCATGCTGATACACTGTTGGTGGAACTGTGACTAGCTCTACCCATTTTGAAAGACAATTTTGAATTATGAGAAGAAAGTGACTAAAATGGCTATACCCTTGGACCCAGAGTTATCTACTACTAGGCATAAACCCCAAAGAGGTCAATCCTAAAAAGAATATAATGAGAAATTTGGAGAGATTCAAACAGATTTTCTCACTAGCAGAAGAAGTAACTTAAACTCTCACTAAGGACCTTTTTACTTGTAGAATATTTTTTTAGCCTGGGAAGATGCAGAATATTTCAAGGCTGAAGTGGATTGAATTGAATTACATCTAAATTGCACCTTTCTTCAAGGGGCAATCTTTGCAGTAGCAACAGCAAATGGAGAACTGGTTAGAGCCTTTCCTTCCAGTCACCATTTCACTTCGATGGGGAATCTAGCATTGGTGCCTAGCCAGATCCACCCCTCTTTCCTGTGGAACATGTGAATAGTATTGTTGTTAGCATTAGTTGGAATATACAATAGCGTTATTATAAACTTCTAATTTACACATTTGTGTAAACTTCCCAAAAGGCAAAGTTTTAACTGAATTGGGGCTTTATCACCGTACACAGAAGGGAGAGTGGTCAAAGAGGGGATTTTGCCCAAAGCCAAGCCCCATGGGTGAAGACAGGTGTGGTTAGAGAGATGTAATTGACCATTTGTGATGGGAAGGGGAAAGCCCTCCTTAGCCACTTTTTCCATCTAGAGAGACCTATACTGACTGCCAAAAACAGGCTCATTTACACACATATATATATAATATATGCAGTAACTAATGGCTAAAACAGTGCAGATGGAAAAAATAGCCAACACAGAACAATGGAAATTTCATGCTGTGAAATTAAAGGTACCTCTTCCCTTTGCAGAAGTGGGATGGGGAGGGAGAAGGAAGGGGGAGACTATGGGCATGGAACACTTCAGATAACGTCAAACATTTTTGACATGTTAGTTAGTTTTGCTGAACTTGCTCATCCTCTGTGTTTCTGTGTGTCTCTCTGTGTCTCTGTGTTTCTCTATCTCTGTTCATTTCCCTTTTTGTCTCTCTTTCTCTTGTCTCTGTCTCTGTCTCACATTGTTTTTTCCTCTCTCTGTCTCTGTCAATTTGTCTTTGTCTCTTTTGTTGTAAGGACTGTTTTGGGTGAGAGGGACACATACATGTAGACAATGTGAAAACAAAGTATATCAATAAAAATGTTTAAACTAAAAAAAAATGCTCTAGTAGTTTCTTGCTCAGTATTGACCTTCAATTCCCAAGACTAATTCATTCTCTACCCTTTCCTATTGTATGACAAAAAGTATTAGCCTATAGATAAAATGCCTATCTAAAGACCCCTTTCCAAAGTGTACTTGGACAAATAGGATTTTTTTCCATAGATTTCTGACAAAAGAACTGCTAAGTTTGGCCTCTGAGTCCAAGAGGCCCAATCAGCATAAATATTGGAAGTAAGAGAAAACTAATAAGAACCCTCTAACTCACATTAGGAAGCAAGACTTCTTCCTATGTGTAAGAGAAAACCAGTGTTACCTTCAGCCTGTAGTCCAGCTTTTTTTTTTTTCCAGTCCAGCTTTTGCACATCCATCAGTGGGGATCATCAGTAGATAATGGCAGACAGTATCTTGGTATAAAGTGTCTGGGGCAGGATTCAAACATAGTCCTTCCTGATTCAGTGTTACAAAATGATGTCTCTTATTTCCCAAATCGTTTATTTGCTTCTCTGAGGAGAAATGTGTAAATTGTCCTTCTCTAGATCTATTTGCCTTCTAGTTTCATTTACAGAAATGATGTCAACGTGGCTTTGGTTCAGTTCTCTGAGTGGTGTATACCAACTTGTACGTAGGCTGGTTCTTCAATAGAAGGCATGATTTGGTGTCAGGCCCGTATTTGAAGCCCTGACAGCTTGACTGAGGCTACCAGAGTGTGCTGTTAGCTGATAAACCTTTTTGAACCTCCCCACCATGATGAACTATTGGAGTGAGGACCATTATGAAGGAGGTAGAAATTAGGCCTTGACGGATTTTTTTAGAAGTTTGAATAAGATCTAAGATTTTTCAAGTTCACAAAATAAATCAAAATTAATTAAAATGCTGAGTTTTATTCTGTGTTGAAGCCATCAGACAGCTGGAGATAAAGATGAAATGAATCTGTCCCTTGACGTATTACATAACTAAAATGGGATCACGCCTCTTGGGCTACAGTTATTTCTTTGTGGAAAATTCCATGCGGAAAAACGTTGTTTATAGACTAGCTAAGATTGATAAATGTAAATAAGAAAACTTGACCAGAATCCCACAGTGAATAGCATTTTACAATATAAGGTAATATAAAAGAGCCTACTTCAATATGTTACTTCACCCCATTAAAGACTCTTGTAATTATGTTCATTGCACTGTTATTTTTCAAGTACAGTCAAATCTTATTAAATAAAGTACCTGTGATTTATTTTCAGCGTAAAATTTTATTGATATATTTTGTTTTTTACACCTCTAGAATTTTTCTCAATAATCTTAACCCTTCCACCTCTCAGAGAGCCATCCTGTATGACACATAATATGTTTTAAAGAAAATGTGGAAGAAGAGAAAAAAAAGTCAGGAAAACCAATTAATATATCAAATGAAGGCTAAATACGTATGGCGTATTCCACAATTGTGAGCCTCCCAACTATGTAAAAGGAGTGGGTCAGAGGTGTCTTCTCATAGCTTTTTGGGACCATGCTTGTTCTTTTAAATTTTGAAACATTCACTTTTGATTGTTTTGTGATTGTTTTCTTTTCTTTCCTTTACATTGTTTTCATCATTGTGCATGTTGTTTTCTTGGCTTTGCTTACTTCAGGCAGTATCAGATGTTGTAAATCTTTTCATGATTCTCTGTAGTCATCATTTTTGTCCTTTTTATTTTTGCAACACAGTAATATTACATTTCATTCATGTACTATAATTTTGTTAAAGTTATTTCCTAATTGATAGGCTATAAATATTTTGGTGTTTTGGTGTATATGAGAACTGGGTTGTTTTTTGTTGTTGTTGTTTGTTTGTTTGTTTGTATGTTTTTAGGACTGTATTCTTATCAATGATCTCCTTGGACTAAACCTAGTAATGGAATGTTTGGATCAAAGGATAAGGGCATTTTAGTCACTTTATTTGCATAATTCCAAATTGCATTCGAAAATGGTTACACTGATTCACAAGTCTACCAACAATGCACTAATGTGTCTACCTTCCCACAACTCTTCAAAAATTGACTGTTCTCATCTTTTGTTGTATTTACCAATATGAAGTTTGCTCCCAGAAACCTCAGAATTATTTTGCTTTTCATTTCCCTTGTTAGTAATTTGAAACGTTCCTTCATGTTTGCTAATAGTTTGCAATTCTTTTAAAAACTGTTTATTGATATCCATTTACCACCTATCTATTGGGAATGGCCTTTTATCTTTAGTATACATATATAATATTTGCATATTACATATGTGCATATATATATACACACATACATACATGCATATATATTTGTTAGTTTTCTATATTTCTTACATACCAAACCTGTAAAGAGAAATTTGATACAAAGATATGCTTCTCATTTGGCTACTTCCCTTCTTATCCTAGCATTATTTTTATTTGTGAAGAAGCTTTTCAGTTTCATGTAATTAGTTAATCTTTTATAATTGCCTCTATCCCTTGTTTAGTTAAGAATACATCTCCTCCCCATAGCTGTGAAAAGTAAATGATCTGTTTCTCTTTTAAGTTGTTGGTGATATAATCTTTAACATTAAGGACATATATCCGTTTTGATTTTGTTGTAGAATATGGTGTTAGATGTTGCTCTAACCCTAATTTCTGTCTGACTGCTTTATAGTTTCTTCCCAAGTTTTTATTAAATAAAGAGTTCCTTCCTAAGTAATTTATGTTTTTGAATAATCATACACTGGGTATTGAGTTTGTTTATTTCTGATTCTCCCATATCTAGCCTGTTCCATTGATCTACTTCTGTTTTTTAACCGATACCAAATGGTTTTGATGACTTCTGCTTTATAATAGTTTAAAGTCTGGAAATGCTATATAACCCCTTCCCTCCTCATTTTTTTATGATTTCCCTTGATTTTCCAGATCATTGGTTCCTCCAAATGAAATTTGTTGTTATTTTATTGAGTCCAGACATCAAAGTATGTCTTTGATATTTAGTCTGGCATTGCATTAAAACTTAGTAAATTAGCTTCAGTAATATCCTTTTTATTGTATTGTCATGGGATAGCTATGAGCACTGAATGTTCATCCAGCTATTTAGATTGTTCTTCAAAGAACATTTTATAATTTAATTTAGACAAGTATTTTGTGTGCTTAGGTAGATTGGTTCCCAAATATTTTATGCATGTTGTAGTTATTTTGAATGAAATTTCCCTTTTTATTATTGCTATTTCTGTTATTTCTATGGGATTTTGTTCTTATTAGATAATTAAATAGAAATGCTGTTAATTTTTGTGTATTAATTTTGTATCCTCAACTTTGCTTAAACTATTATTTGTCTCAATTTGTATCTTTGTTGATTACCTAGGATTTTCTAAGTAAACGGTGGTATAAATGAATTGGAAGTTATCCTTTAATTTATTCCTCTTTTCTTATCACTATTGCTAGCATTTCTACAACTATATGAAACAAAATGGGGTAAGTATTATATCAACCTCCATTTTACACATTCAGAATCTGAGTCACAGAGAGATTAAATGACTTGTCAGGTTCACACAGCCAGTGCATCTGAAAGCAGGAGTTCCATATGCCTTCCTGACTCAAAGCCCAGCACTGGATCTACTCTGTCAGGCTGGCTCTCAAACAGAGGTTCTGTATTTATAGGGATCATAATTTGGTTAGATCAGATGGCAGTGAGCTTATCTCTAATTTCTCTAGCACTTTCTGTAGCACTTTCCTAAACCTAAGACTGTGTTTCTAATCAGCAAGTCTTGTTAGATTCCACAGAGGGTCAAATAGCAGTATGAGCATACTTTGTGTGGTGCATCCTTCTTAAGTTATGAAGGCCTTTCATTATGGTGACCACATTTTAGATTTTTCTAGACAGTGCCAATTTTAAGGAAAATGTGATTTAGTGGGGTCTTTAAAAAAAAGGAGCATTTTCCCTGATACTTGGTTTGGAGTAAATGTGAAACATGCTTACAAGTCAGGACTTTCTCTTCTTCCTCCTTGTTGCAACGGTTAAAAAAGGGCTAGTGCTCTGTGAATAGGTTTGACAGTAAAGGGAGAATGTTACCATTTGGGTTATGATGGGCTGTGGTTCTTGCAGATTCCTTTTTCTAAGTTAATTTTTTTGTTGAATCCATTTTTTTAAATTAATTTATTTTTAGTTTTAAATATTCACTTCCATAAGCTTTTGAGTTTTAAATTTTCTCCCCCTCCCTCCCCAAGAGGGCGTGCAATCTGATATAGGCTATACATATGCATTCCTATTAAACATATTTTCACATTGGTCATGTTGTAAAGAAGAATTAGAACCAATAGGAGGAACCACAAGAAAGAAGAAACAAAACAAAAAGAAAAAAAGAGCAAATAGTATGCTTCCATCTGCATTCAGACTCCTGAGTTCTTTCTCTGGATATAGATAGCATTTTCCATCATAAGGCTTTTGGAGATGTCTTAGATCCTTGCATTGCTGAGAAGAACTAAGTCTATCAAAGTTAGTTATCGAAAATATGGCTGTTACTGTGTACAACATTCTCCTGGTTTTGCTTACTGCACTTAGCATCAGTCCATGCAAGTCTTTCGAGATTTTTCTGAAGTCTGTTTGCTCATCATTTCTTATAGCACAATAGTATTCCATTACATTCATATACCACAACTTCTTCGGCCATTCCTCAATTGATGGGCATCTCCTCAATTTCCAATTCATTGCCACCACAGAAAGAACTGCTACAAATATTTTTGTATTGTGGGTCCTTTTCCTGGTTTTATGATCTCTTTGGGCTACAGCCCTAGAAGTGATATTGCTGGGTCAAAGCTTATACACATTTTTTCTAGCCCTTTGGGTATAGTTCCAAATTGCTCTCCAAAATGGTTAGATAAGCTAATTTATTCTTTTTTTAAAAAAAAAATTATTTATTTTTAGTTTTCAACATTCACCTCCACAAGATTTTGAGTTCCAAATTTTCTCCCCATCTCGCCCCTACCCCTACCCCAAGATGGCATGCATTCTGCCCTCCAATCTGCCCTCTCTCCTATCTCTGCCCCCCTTCTCTTATCCCCTTCCCCTTCAATTTTCCTATAGGGCAGGATAGATTTCTATACCCTATTTCCTGTATTTCTTATTTCCCTGTTTAAGCTAATTTATTCTTAAAGCTGTTTTGAATATTCCACAGCAGAAGTCAAATGCCCCTAATAATGAGATATCACTTCTACAAAATGGCAGCTCTATTTTCCCTGACTAATCTAAGAAAATATAACTACCTTCCTACCTATAGTAAACTGTTGCTGCTGCTGCTGACCTAGATGGAAAACTGAGCTGGGAGATTTAGTTCAGGTTGAAATGCTTGCCCAAATTGGATTTTATCCAAGAGTAATTATGCTACGTGGCAGTTTTTAAGTATCTGCTGGTAGATGTGTCCCCTTTTTTTGTTTGTTTTTTTAAAGGAACAATTGATCATGAGTACAGTAAAGTAGTTAGGCCAAAGATAGTAGTGGCAGTTACCCTTTTGTAACAACCTTTAGATCTTGAAACAAAGCTCTTATTTCATTCTGATGATCTTGGGTAAGAGACCTTAGACTGGGGAGCAAATGAAATTGTCCCCTCTCATTAAGGGTTTTTGTGTCAAATGACCATGTAGGTAGTTTCAATAGCCAAAGGACAGAGATTCCTTGCTGTTTCTGACTTGTAGATAAAATACTTTAAATACTAAGGATTTTGAATTTTGAATTGTGAGTTTTATAATAGAACAGGTTGATAAGATTTTCAAAATTTTCATAGGCTCAGGTTTTTTTATTTGTTTATTTTTAGAATACAGACAACCTTATTGTGAAGAATACCATGAATAATGGTATCTTATATCTTTGTCAGTTTACATGATATTTTTAGCTAAGTATTGAGAATGTCAGATTTATGATATAAAATACTCAACAAGGGATAAGAAAGAGCAAAGATGAAGTGAAATAAAGGGAAAAGAGGAGAAATTGGTAATAGAAATTAAAACTAGATTGGGTAGTATAGCTTTCCTTATCCCTTGTCTTCCCCAGAATAAGCATATACCTCAGAGGCATTAATTAGTAAGTTGTTTTTTGCCTTCTTCTGTCAGTTTGTCTTCCATCTACCCTGTATGTACATAATTACTCGCACATTGTCTTTATCTTTAGAATATTTGCCCCATGAGGGCAGGGACCATGATATCACCCTTCTTTGTATTTTCAGGACTTAATACAGAGCCTAGCATTGGTAACCCCTTACTAAGCATTTGTTGACTGACTGATTGACTGACTCTTGGTGTATTCCTAAAATTTAGAAATTCTTTCTAGCCTAAAATGTAATCCACTGGGCTTCCCTCCTCTGCTCTACTTTTGCTAAAAGCAAATGCTCAAATAACATCATTAAAAGACACAAAGAATAAAGAGAAGACAGGCCTAATATCTAGCATTTTTACCATAAAATGGTTGCCTCCTAGGTTAAAGAGAAAATGGAGGCCTTTGGCTATGCCGAAGGCTATCTCTTTTCAATGTGAGACTAGTAAACAAGGTATTTTCTTTGTGTGTTCAAATTGAAATGTTCATTAATGGTTCATTTCCAGATTTCACTTTTTTCTTTTCTTTTGGCTTTTGATAATCTTGTACTAAATGGCAAGGATAGGTTTACATTTTTTCTTCTCTATTGTTCTTAAACTACTGAATTTTTAGAAATGATTATTTTGGGGAAATGCATTTCATGCTTTGATTTCTAAATTTCTAGACATGCATAAACACAAGTGAATTTCAGAATTTTTTGCTGCATTTGGATGCATTTTTTATGCTCAAAGAAAGAAATCCCTTTTACTTAACCCAATTCTGTTTTCTCTAAATATAGAGAGATAACACCGGCACAAAATGACAACCCTGACAATGACCAAGGAAGTACTCCAGGAGGAAACACGGGTACAAGAAGAAAATTTAGCATTATACGAATCCGCATCTGCTCACATTATTGAGGAAACAGAATATGTGAAAAAGGTGAATATGAAATGTTCGTTCTTGCTATTTTGCTTTGTGCTGATTTTTAGGTACTATTGTAACTTCCTTATCATGGCACTAAATGTAGTAGTATTTGTTTTCTCACAATCACATTATTTCTATAATGAGAAAAACCAGGTCTATCAATTACAAAAGAATTTTTTTATTATTTGCAAATAATTTTTAAAAATTTTGCTGTAATTTATTATAATTTCTTTTTGTGCAAGTGGACTTAAAATACAAATAATTACAAGCAGATATTATTTTATTTTGAAAAAATTTGTTATCCTACTATCTCTAGTATATGCAGATATACTGTGTCAATTGATGCAACTTGGTCCTTTGAAATATTCTTACTTTCCAGTCCTCTGGTGTTAAATGATTTCTGTAGAAAGATTGGAGCACACGATACAGAGACTCTCATCAGTCAAACAATAAAGGGTTGAATCTGACCTATATATTGAGTCTGACCAGACTTGGAACTCTATAGCATTTAGTACTTAATTATATAATGTTTTGTATTATTTAATTTGTCTGCAAGGTAGTATAGTGGTTAAAGCACTGGGCCCAGAGTCAGGAAGGTTCATCTTCATTCAAATCTGTCCTCAGACACTTACTAGCTATGTGACTTAATCCTGTTTGCCTCAGTTTCCTCAACTGTAAAATGAGCTAGAGAAGGAAATGGCAAACCACTCCTGTATCTTTGCTGAGAAAACCCCAAGTGGGGTCACAAAGAGTTGGATACAACTGAAATGACTGAACATCAACAGCAAATTATCTCATTATTTAATTTTATCCTCTCAATTACATTTTGGGCTTTTCATAAGGATTTTGTTTTATACTACTTTTGCATTCTCTATGGTTGTTAGTAGGTACTCAATAAATATTTGTTGATTGAGTGATTGATTAAAAGAGAAAGTCCTCTCTATGGGGCTTTAAAAATAATTGTAAACTGTTGCACAGTTTGTAACTTGCTTGAGACTGAATAATGTATCGTGTCAGATTTAATAAATTCTAACAGAATTCATCAGTTTGTTTGTTTCAAATTCTCTGGCTCAGCAAAACACTCAGTCTCCCTCTTAAAGGAATCAATCTTTCTGATGTGTTATCCTACAAAAATTCTCCGTTAGTAACTGCTTTGTAATAGTCTTTGATTCTGGTTTAACTAGACATGGTCTTAAATCAAGAACTTTGTTTTTGTTTAGATTGCTGAGAATTATCCAGAGAGATTTGCAAAAAAGATGCTTATGTAGGACTTAGTCATTTTAAATATCACTACTCATATTTCTTATTTGCCATGCATATATTGGGCACCTTGACTTAGAAGCATAAGAGCAGAAAGAGGAAAGAAATAAGCACTTATGTAGCACCTCCTATTATGTGCCAAGCAGTGTGCTAAGCACTTTTAACAAATATTATCTCATTTGATCCTCACAGCATAAAAGAGAAGTCTTGAATGTAATGGAAAAAGTATGGAATTTGAAGTCAGAAAACCTGGGTTTGGGTCCTAGCTGTGTTACTTCATTACCTTTGAGAGCTTTGGGCAAGTCACTTAACCCCTTAGTATTTTCATCTGCGAAATGAAGGGATCAGACTAAATCAGTGGTTCTTAAAGTGTGGCTCATAGACACCTACAATCCCCAAGACCCTTTCAGAACATCTTGAGGTCAAAACTATTTTCATACTTACACTAAGTAATTTGATATTTGCCTATGACAATACTTCTCCCTTTTCTGATTTCTTAGCGTGAGACCAAATTTTCTTCATATACTTCAAGCAAAACAACATTATAACAGATTGAAAGCAAAAACATATATGAGAATTCAGCAGTGTTCTATTAAACCAAATGTTGAAAGATTTGCAAAAAAAAGTAAAACAATGCCACTGTTCTTATTAAATTGGGGTTGGATAATGTAGTTTTTTTAAATAAAATTTTATATAAATGTATAATGGTTTATTATTGTTATTTTAAATGAATTGATAAATTATTTTAAATTTATCAGTTTTACTTTCTAATATGGTAAATATTCATAGATATTTGAGGTGTTCAAGAATTTTTAAGAGTGTAAAGGTATCCTGAGACCAAAATATTTTAAAACCATTGAACTAAATTATCTACTTTGGGCACTAAACCTGATTAGAGAAAGGAGATCACTAAAAGCCCAATTGAACAACAATGCTGATTTTTTTTTCTTTCTGCAGATTCGAACTACACTAGAGAAGATCCGATACCAGATATTTAAAGATGACATAGGTCATAAGAACACAAATCACAAATTAGATGCAAAGGTATTGGCTTAATAAACTTTCCCATACTTCTCTGCTTTCGGAAAACAAGAAATTGCTAAAGTCACTATGATTTTATTTTGTGATTTCCTTAGGTTAACTATAAAAAGACTCCTTGGAGTTAGAGTGCTAAAGGAGACCCTGTGTGTTTGGAATGGAGAGTATTCTAGAGGTGAAGAAGGTTCTTTTTTTTTCTTTTGTTTCCCATAATGTATTATTTCTATCTTTTCTTTTTTTATTTTGTTTTTAATTTATGGAATAAAACAAGCCTTTCCATAACATAGTACAATAAAAAACATGATTGTACATGAAACTACAAATGTACTATGCACAACTTGCTATTCTTTTCAAATATACAACAAAATTATGATGTAAATTTTTTTTCTTTCCTCCCCCTGCCCTAGAGATGGCTACCATTAGACCTAAATAGGTGTGTGTGTGTGTATAGATAGATATAGATATATAGATGTATGTAAAATTATTTTATACATACTGCTATTTATCAGTTCTTTCTCTGGATGCAGATAACATCTTTCTTCAAATGTCCTTTATAGTTAATTTGGTTTTTACAATAGACAAAATAACATACTTGCTCAAAGTTATTCTTAAAACAATATTGCTCTTATTGTATACAATGTTCTCTTGGTTCTGCTCATGTTGCTTTTGCTCTTCATCATTTCATGCAGATCTTTCCATGTTTTTCTTAAATCATTGAACTCATCATTTCTTATAGCACAGTAATATTCCATCACAATCATATACTACAACTTGTTCAGCCATTCCCCAATTGATGGGCATTCCTGCAATTTCCAGTTCTATGCTACCACAAAGAGAGCTGCTAGAAGTAAAACATATTTTTCCCTAATCAGCTTTGGAAATAGACCAAGTAGAGGTATTTCAGGGTGAAAGGGTATAGGTAGTTAATAACTCTTTGGGCGTAATTCCAGATTCCTCTCCAATATGGTTGTATCATTTTACAATTCCACCAACAATGAATTAGTGTCACAATTTTTTTCACATCCTCTCCAGTATTTGTCATTTTCCCCTTCTATTATTTTGGCCAATCTAGTAGGTATGAGATGATATCTCAAGGTTGTTTTAATCTGCATTTCCCTAATCAGTAATGATTTAGAGCATTTTTATATGACAATAAATTGTTTAGATTTCTTCATTGGAAAATAGCCTGTTCATACCCTTTGACCATTTATCAATTGGGGAATGATGTGTATTCTTATGATTTGATAAAGTTCTAATTATTATTTGTGAAATTCCCTCTACATACTCATTTTTTACTCAGCATTTTCCTTTTCAGCCTCTTTTTACCCTATCCCTGTTATCTTATGTTTTCCCCTTACCCTCTTATTCCTTATTTTACTCACCTCTCTAAAATCCCTCCTTGATCTTTCCCCCCTTCTAATCTTATTCTATACAACCTTTTAAAAGTCTCTCCCCGACCCTATCCCTCAGTTTTCTAACCTCTCTAGAAGTTCAGAAGACTTCAAAACTTCTTCAGATATACACTTTGTTTCCTCTTCAACCTAAATGAGAGTAAGGTTCCAACATCACCAGCCCTCCACCACCCCCTGTTTCCTCTGTATTAGTTCTTCCTTTCACACCCTGTTCTTATGAGATAATTGCTCCTTTTTACTTTTTCCTACCCAATTTTACTTTTTAGAATGACACCGTCATACAAAACTGAGCCACAACCTTTCTTTCAAACTACCTTAGTAATGGTAATAATTTTAAGAATACTGATAACATTTTCATATATCATAAGTAAAACAGTTTAACCTTTAGCAGTGGCTTATAATTAGTTTTCAATGATTTCCTTATATTTCTTCTGGAACTTTTATATCAAATTTTCCATTGAGTTATGGTCTTTTTGCTACCTTTTCTAAGATTTCTGTATAGATAGCCATGAAAATGACTTTTCTACTCAGAATTTATTGAGTGTTTATTCTCAAGTGCAGAGTAATGTGTTAGGCACTGTGGGATAGTTGGGGAGGGGGATATAAAGAAATAAAGGACTGGATTTCTTCTTTGGAGCAGATAGAATGGCAGAACTAGAGTGAATACATTACTTAACAAGTATGTTCACACTTTTGACTTTGCAGAGCCCAGGTAATAAATGAGAGAGAACTTTTTGTGTAAGGAAGAATTGGGTCTCTAAATAAACCTAGTATGAATTGCATTAAAAAAAAAACCCAAGAGGTACAGTATTCTTGTTTATGTTAATAAGTTTCTGCCCAGGATCTTTAAATCTAACAATGAAGCTAGATCAGATCTTTTGTCTTAGGCACACAAAACTTCTGTTGTTTGTAAGAATTCTATACTGACATTGTTGTCCCTAAAGTTGTTGAATTAAGAAACCGATTAAGAGTATACATAAGGTGACTTGCATTCAGGGTACAAGGTATAAGTTACTATCTCTCTTAGCTCTATTGGTGATGTAGTACTTTTGACCTGTTGCTTAGCAAGTCATCAGGGGTGAGACATTACTAGGTCCCAAACTCACTGAGGGCAGCAGCCCCTTAAAGCTGAGTATATTCAGGTTCTGTTCCACAAATTGTTGTTGATCAAGAGATAAGTTCTAGGAACACAGCTTTTTATCCAAGAAGCTGATTCAAAGTGCGGTGCAAATACACCCAGCTACATGACCCATGAGGCAGTGTGGTATCATGGGTAAAGAGCTAGCCACAAAGTCAAGAAGACTTGGGTTTCAGTCCTAGCCGTGACTGTACTGACTTTGTGACCCTGGGTAAGTCACTTGAACCTGTGAGTCCTCCAGGACAACTCTTTAGGACTTTGAGACTCAGAAGAGTCACCGATCTATGGGGTAGGAGTTCCTCCCCCAGAGATTCCTACACCAGTGAAATTACACAGGTCAAAAAAATATGCAAACACAAGAGACATGGTTAACAGAGTTGAATCATTAATAATTAAATACTTGAATGGCTTGATGCCCAATGCAGTAGGCACATGACTTTTTTATGTCTATTAATATCATGTTAATATTTTTTCCAGTCAGAAATACTAGAACAGAACTTCATCACCTCCTTTGTTTCAGGTCTTTTGTAAGTCTATGGAAGATCCAGATACAAGAGATGAGGTCTAGAACTTGGTGTGACTATGTACTGGATTAACCTTATTTGTTCTATCTCATATGCCCTGACCTGACTTCTCTTTTCTTTGTGAAACTCAATGGGATGACTCATGTCATCAAAGGTTTTGAATTTAAACAAGAGATAAGATCATCATCTTTCACATTTCTTCATTCCAGCACTCTTGTCACACTGCTGAGGATGGGCCCGAGTCCCAGGTGGAGGCCTCTCGTTCCAGTTTTGATCTGATGATGGAGAAGATGAGAGGCAAAGACCTACAACTCCTAGAAATGAACAAAGAAAATGAAGTCTTGAAAATCAAGGTGTGGTGATTATGACTGAGTTCTGAAGTCAATAAAATGTTTAAATTCCTAGAAGTGATGCTTTCGTACTTTTGAAAATGCGCAGACAGGTCAAGGGCATTAACTGTGAGTTTCACCTAATTCTGCAGCAAGCATTACCCCAGAGAACATCATAGGATTTCTGACCAATTGCTTGACTGCATTTCAGCTCAGCTACACGTAGAATGTCTTTGGTTTTGTCATTGATGTATCCACCTATCTAGGTCTTTTATTAGGCAGGAGAATGGGGCCTAGGTTTAGTCACAAGGTATTTTTTTCCACCCATCCATCAGTCTACTTTCTACTTTCTCAGCTTTCTGTTTCCTGTTTTGTTCCATGCTAGGAGCAATGAAATTTGAGTACTTATCCCAGTTTCATCAAAAATTAGTTGAGTACCTGGGGCTAAATCTTTATCTTCCTTTAATTGAAGCATTGATTAAATGATCTCCATGTTCCCTTCCATCTCTAAAATCCCATGTTTAGTTTGGGTAGGAGAGGATTTTGGAACGTGTGTGTGTGTGTGTGTGTGTGTGTGTGTGTGTGTAAGAGAGAGAAAGAGAGGGTACTTTTCTCCCCCTCCTTCTGTTTTTGTTACATAGAGACGTACAAGTCCCAGAAAATGTGTAAACCACCAAGGTTTTTGGCAGCGCCCCAGCCTTGTGGCTGGGAACTTTGGAAGGGCAAGATCCACTGAGTGAATGTACAAGGAAAGGTAAAAGTTGCTCTGCTTATATTTAGATTAATTTACTTTTCTTTTATCTCTGGCATTGGCACCAGGTCCACAAAGGAAAATGGATAACATTGCATTTTCAAGGTGGTGTTTCATGCATTCCCAGAGGGTCTCAGAGCACAAATCCCAATTACTTTATCCCAAATACCCATCCCACTTGTACAGTGGAAAAAATTACTGGCTTTGCAGTCAGAAGACCTGGGTTCAAATCCTGTTTCTGATACTGCTTGTGTGACCTGGGGCAAGTTATTTAACCACTCTGGGCCTTGTTTTTCTACCCAATAAGATGAAGAATTTGGGTTAGTTGATCTCAGAGTTTTATTCCATGTCTAAATCTGTGGTCCTGTGACTCACTCTGAATTGATTTACGGTAACATACTGTTTATGATATTAGTAACCTAGTATGGCTTTAAGAGTTTCCACCTCTTTGAAGTAATTAGGGTAGCTAAGTGATACAATAGATAGAGCCCTGGAACTGGAGTCAGGAGGACATGAGTTCACATCCTGTCCTCAGACACTAGCTTTGTGACCCTGGGAAAATCACTTAATCTTTATTTGCCTCAGTTTCCTCATCTGTAAAATGGGGATAATAATAGCACCTAACTCCCAGGGTTATTGTGCAGATCAAATCAGGTAATAATTGTGAAGTGTTTAGCACAGTGTCTGGCACATAGTAAGCATTATTAACTATGATTATTATTATTATTTTCATCATAATCCATGATTACAACAACTGACTTGTAAGATGGAGGTTAGGAGTACAGTCTGACTTTGGAAAGAAGCTAACTAGCCAATCTCTTCTTTGAACTTGTGGCCATGATTTAATCAGTTGAGTTAATCCAGGGTCATCATTATGCATGGTCATTACCTTGTATCTCTTTCCTTATACTCTCTACACTGTTCATGAGTATGGGTACATGATAATTTGGTAGGGATGAGGGGAAGGGGATAAGGAGGCTTTAGAGGGACCAGGTAGCAACCAAAGTATCAGAGGTCTGCCTGTGACAGTCTTGGTGACAGATTCCTAAAATATGCTTGAAATTTTACACTTTAGTTCATTATCTGGAATATTCGCTACATAAAGACCCTCCACCACCTTGTAATGCTGCCATTTTAACCATTGGACAGTAAAATGACAAGGTAAGGCCATGTGGGCTTTGGTGAGGAAATGTTTGCAAAGCCATGTATAAGTACTCTGAGATTCTTTGAAGGGAGTTAAATTGTAAAGGCAAAAGTGTTAGAAGTTACATGTTTACTTGAACAGTCTGGCTGCATTGTTGGTTTTAATGAGTAAGAAGTTAATCATTTGAAATAGAATTTTTTCTTTTCAGTATGTTGATTTCTCTTGACTGTTTCTTGTGTTCCAAATGGCATGGCTACTGCCTCTTCAGTTTAGTTGCCTCCCAAATGTTTCTAGTTCAATACTTCAAAAATGTAAACATAATACAGGAATTTTTTTTTTCTTTTCAGTTGGAAGCCTCAAGAGAAGCAGGTGCTGCAGCGCTGCGCAATGTTGCCCAGAAATTATTTGACAGCTATCAGAAACGGTCTGATGAACTTAGGAAAAAGCATGAAGATGATAAAAAGTTATTACAGGTATAAAATCCCTTCTCCTATCAAAAGCCAGTCTTCTCAATCTGTCTAATTCTTCCTTAGAAAATTGAGTGTAAACAACTTAATGGCCAAAGCCACCAGTTTCTAAGTGGCTGCAGAAGCATCCTATTGAGTAGACAGGACCTTAATGGCAAAGGATGTTTGTGTGTCCTAATGGCTGGCCGTATTCTGATGCCAGCCCTGTGTCTAGATAGGCCTGTAGTCCTATGCATTCTCCTGGGCTACTACAGGCAGTGTGGTACTTTGGAAAGAGCCTTAGCTCTAGAGTCAGGGGACCTAGGTTAAAATCCCACCTCTGACTCTTAGGGGATGGGACCAGATGTCCTCTGGTCCCTTGGTGTCCCAACTCTAGGTCTGTGATATGATGATCAGGGCTGACTTGGACACAGTTATCAAGCCAGTAAGTTTTGCTTTAAGTATCTCTCCAGTTGCCTGTTGTGGTCACGCTGCCTTGGATTCACCTACTATGCTTTCTGAGAGCCTGATGGCTGATGTGTGACAACAGGTACTTAACCAGGTGAAGCTATCTTAGAAAAAGGGTTAGCTGATGGAAACTAGGTCATTGGCACAGACAAAATGTGATAAAGCTAGAAATATCAGGCAAAGTTACAGGACAGTGGGGGAGATATTTCAGGATAAGTGTGACACAGTGCAGCTAGAAGTCAGGAGACCTATGTCCTAGTCTCAGTTTTTCTACAAACTAGTGATTTAAGCAAACCAGTTTACCTTTCGGTGTCTGTTACTCATCAATGAATTTAGGAGGTTGGCCTGCACAGTCTCCGAGGTCTCTTGCAGCTCCCACACTCTTTTTAAAAATTAATTAATTTATTGTTAATATTTATTTTTCCTTTTTTTATATTAATACATATTTATGAAATAAAACATTTCCATAACACAGTAAAATAAAAAGACGGTTGTACATAAAACTGCAATTCTACTAAGCATAACTTGCTATTCCTTTCAAATATACAACAAAATTATCATGTATGTTTCTTTTTCTCTTTCTTTTTTTCTATCTTCCACCCTGCCCCCACCCCCGCCCCAGCTACCATTAGGCACAAATAGAGATATGTGTGTATGTATGTATGTATGTATGTATGTATGTATGTATGTATGTATCTATATGTGTGTATGTGTGTATGTATATATATAATTATTCTGTGCGTACTTCTATTTATCAATTCTTTCTCTGGATGTAATAGTATCTTTTTTCATATATCCTTTATAGTTAATTTGGGTATTTATAATAGTCAAAATAACTTATTCATTCAAAGTCATTCTTTTTTTTTAATATAAATTTACTTATTTTTAGTTTTCAATATTCACTTCCACAAGTTTTTGAGTTCCAAATTTCTCACCCCTCCCCCCACCCCAAGATGGCATGCATTCTGAATACCCCTTCCCCTGGTCTGCCTTCTCTTCTCTCTCTCCCCCCTCCCTTCTCTTATCCCCTTCCCCTTCTATTTTCCTGTAGAGCAGGATAGACTTCTGTACCCCATTTACAACATTCTTAAAACAATGTTGCTGTTACTGTATACAACGTTCCCTTGGTTCTGTTCTCTCCAGCTCCTATATTCTAAGATACTATGAGACATTCCTATCTCTAAAATGCTTTGGCCTTTCTGTATCTCTCAACTTCTTAAGTAAGATTGGGGTGCTGTGTGAGCCTGTGTGAGCTCTTGAAAGTTTCAATGGTATAGCATAAAATCAGGTTCATTTCTTGATTATGCCTTCTGATTTCTGAGATGTATGATATGGAATAAAACTTTCTTTTGTGAAATCTTAGTTATAATTAACTGAGATTTTAGTTTTATATCTTAAAAAAATCTATCCTCTTTTTGTATGAATGGGGCGGGGAAGGGGAGGGAGTACGCATTTATTGCACTTACTGCACTCCAGGTACTGTGCTAAGCTCTTTACAAATATTATCTCATTCAGTCTTCACAACAACCCTGGAAGATAGGTGCTATTATTATCTGCATTTTACAGTTGAGGCAACTGAGGCAAACAGAGGTTAATTAATTTGCCCAGGGTCACAGTAGTAAGTATCTGAGGCTGGGTTTTTTTGTTTTTTGGGGTTTTTTTTGGTGAGGCAATTGGGGCTAAATGACTTGCCCAGAGTCACACAGCTAGTTAAGTGTCAAGTGTCTGAGGTCAGATTTGAACTCAGGTCTTTCTGACTCCAGGGCCAGTGCTTTATCTACTGCACCACCTAGCTGCCCCCGTGAGACTGGATTTTAAATTAGGTCTTCCCAGCACTCTACCCACTGTTCTACTGCCTCAAGGCAAGGCATTCACATTACTGATTCTTACTACTCTAGTTTGCCTTAAGATTATTAGAATTTATTTTTAAGAATTGTTATTGCATAGTCCAGTTTAAAGAGCTTTAGGTTTGGAATCAGATTACCCAGGTTAAAAATCCTATCTGATGATTATCGCTTATGTCTTTGGGCCTCTTTAGGCCTCAGTTTCCTCATCTGTAAAATGAAAGGGTGATACAAAGTAGCTTCTAAGTTTCCTCCAGGCTCTAAATCTGTGATCTATTGATCCTTTCATCCCATATCTCCTTGTAAGGTACTATGTATTTGCTTATGCAGTTATTCTTATATCGTTTGTGTATCAGTTCTGGCACTTGATAAATATTTTTCTTCCATCCATTCTTGAAAGAAACTGCATTTTTCAATGTTTTCAAGCTACTTTTAAAGGAAACTGATTTTTAAAAACTGTTACATGTTTTTGCAATCCCTTTCCTCTCTCTTTTGGTTAAATAAAAAATTATACAAGAAAAACTGATAGTTTGTGCATAGAAATGGACAAGTTGTTTAGAAATGCATATTCTTACCTTGACAACTGTGTTTTCCAACCACAGGTGAGCAACCTTGAAAAAGGACAGAAATTCAAACAACATGTAGAAAGTTTGAAGCAAGTAACTGAGAGACTTGAAGGAAAGCACAGCCAGATCACAGAACTGGAAAACCTCGTACAGAGAATGGAAGAGGTAAGCTCAGCAAGGCTAGAAGCTCAGCAAGGTGAACTGGTTTGTTAAGTAAACAAAGCCTTCAGCAGAACACTGAAACAATTAAAAAATAACTCATAATACGGAAAATGAAAACTTTTACCTGGTTAGTTTGATTTCATCAGCTGAAGGAATCATAATGAAATGAACCCCTGCTTCAGTGCAGTCATTTTTCATAGAAATGCAACACTGTAATGTCTGCAGACCTTTTGAAACCACACACAAAAAAAGATCTGAAATTATGTGTTGTGGTCTACTTGTTTGTGTTTAGAAAATCAGGATTTTAAAACAGAACCTTTGAGATATAAAAGTTACATTCCCTCCGCACTCTCCTTTGCAGATGTCGGGGACAGTGGCTACTGAACACTCCATATATTATCAGGTTTTTTTTTTTTTGTTATGTTGGTTAGTTTTACTGAGATGTTTGTCTTTTCCTTTTTCTTCCTCATTATAGGAAGAAGAGGGAGGTAGATGGAGTAGGTAATTTAGGTGATGTAAAAACAAAAAATAATTTTAAATAATTTTAAAAAAAAGAAAAGGAAAAAAGGAGAGTCAAATGAGGGTTAATTTGTGTACTTAATGGTACTATGAACAATTCTTTGAGTAGGACAGAAAAAAGACATCTGTGAAACCATGACTTTCTACTACATACATCTTGATTTTGAAAAAAATAATTATCATCTTTTATTTTTAAATCACTTATATTTCCCTATATCCCCATCTCTGAGGGTTATCCCTTGTGGCAAAGAGTTTTTGGTGAAAAGAAGAAAAAGTAAGAACAAAATTTAGCAAAACAAATCAACAGATCAAAAAAAAATATGACATTATATATTCCAGTACCTTCCCTCTCTTGATTATTTCCAGTTTGTTTTGTATATACTTATTTCTGTAGTTATTTGCATATCATCTCCTCCCATTGAACTGTGAGTGCCTATTTTTTGCTTTTCTTTGTGTCTCCAGCACTTAGCACAGTGTCTGACACTTAGTAAACACTTAATGAATGTTTCTTGACTGACCATGGACTGCCACCTCTTTAAATTAGTTGGGTGTAGGTAGGGAGTGTCTTCTCATATCTCTTCTTTTGGAGACAAACTTGTGGCTGTCCAGATCCTCAAGTGCAGCCCTTTGACTAAGTCCAAGTTTGACAGAACAAATCCTTTTATTAAGGGGATTTGTTATGGGAAGTTTGGATTCAGTCAAAGGCCACACTTGAGGACCTAGAGGGCCACAGGTGGCCTCTAGGCTGCAGGTTCCCCACCTCTGGTATGGACATTTTAGTCATGTTATTTGCATACTTCCAAATGGCTTTCCAGAATGGTTGTACCAATTCGCAGTTCCACCAACAATGCGATACTGTGCCTGACTTTTTATGACCCCTGCACTTTGGCAATGTCAACAGGGCTTACATTGCTTTTCCAGCAATTGTGATGAATATGTGTTGTTATGCAGCCTCCCCTAGGACCCAGACCATAGATTTGTAAGATGGCTGGTTGGGTTGAGATATATCACGTGGCCACAGAAGCATCAAATTCATTAAAAGGATCAAATCGATAAGCTTAGCCTCATTGTTGTTGAGTCGTTTTTCAGGCATGTCCAACTCTTTGTGACCCCATATGGGGTTGTCTTGGCAAAGATACTGAAATCTGCCATTTCCTTCTCCAGCTCATTTTACCGATGAGGAAACTGAGGTAAGCAGGGTTAAGTGACCTGCCCAGGGTCACATAGCTAGTAAATGTCTGAGCCCAGGAAGATGAACCTTCCTGACTGCAAGCCTGGCACTCTATCCACTGTGCCATCTCACTGCTCATGAGATAACGAGTACAGGGGCCATATTAGAGAAGCAGTCCCTATGGATGCTGAGGTCCTGTTTATACTGATGACATTGTTCTGGTTGCATCAGACCCCAACAATAACGATATCTATAGCCATGTCTATATTCTGAGATAAGCCAGAGTTCTCTTGCTGTGTTACTTTGGAATTATGGGGCTTAAAATAGATTATCTAGTTTTCTTTACCAATAGTAACTATGCATTGTTTTGTATATTCTGTCTTTGTTGAAAGCTATAATATTTAGCTTTATAATTTGTAGTATTAGAGTATTTAATGTTAACATTATGTAACAATAGTAATAACTAGCATTCATATTTAAGTATATATTAAGTACTTTATTATTATTATTATTAAAATTAGGTATATATTTACCTTAAGGTTTGCAGAGCACTTGATTTCCTCACTTAATTCTCACAACAGCCTGGGAGATAGGTGCTATCATTATCCCCATTTTACAGATGAAAAAACTAGGACAGATGGAAGTTTAAGCAACTTGCTTAGGGTCACACAGCTAGTGTCTAAAGCCAGATTTGACCTTAAGCCTTCCTGACTCCAAATTCAGCACTCTATCCACTATGCCACCTATCTGCCTCTGCAACTTCAAGCTAATATTGTATGAAGAATGTTTAGTATTATTTGATGGAAGATATTTTTGGTGCGGAATTAGTCTGGCTAATAGAAATGCTTGATTAACTAATTTCCATTTTAAATAGTTAAGTTAGAAGCTTTCCTCAATTGGAGATTTCAGTACTTCAAGTAATTTTATTTTTAAATTATTTTTTAAACATTTTTTCTTTTTAAATTTTGAGTTACAGATTCTCTCCCTCCTACCTACCCCTCCTTTCACTTATTGAGAAGGTAAACAATATATCAATTATACATCTGAAATAGTGAAAAATATATTTCCATATTAAAAAAATAAATAAAGTGAGAAAATTGTACTTCAATTTTTACTCAGAGCAGTTCTTTCTGTGGAGGTGGGTAGCATTTTTTTCCATCATGAGTCCTTTGGAATTTTGTTGGAATCACTGAATTGAGCAGAGTAGCTAAGTCTTTCACAATTGATCATCATCACAACATTGCTGTTATTATGCACAATGATCTCCCAGTTCTTCTTACTTCAGTTTGCATCAGTTCATATAGGTCTTGCCATGTGTTTTCTGAAACCACCTTCTTTGTCATTTCTTATAGCCCAATAGCACTTCATAATCATATGCCACAATTTGTTTAGTCATTCTCCAACTGATGGGCATTCCCTCAATTTCCAATTCTTTGCCACCACAAAAAAGCTGTTTTAAATATTTTTGTACATACAGGTCCTTTTCCTTTTCCTTTGATCTCTTTGGGGTACAGACCTAGTAGTGGTATTGCTGAATCAAATGGTATGCACAGTTTTATATCTTTTGGGGCATAGTTCCAAATTGTTCTTCAGAATGGTTAGACCAGTTCACTACTCTGCCAACAGTTAATTAATGTACCTATTTTCCCTCATCCCTTCAAGCATTTGTCATTTCTGGTAGGTATGAGGTGGTATCTGAGAGTTGTTTTAATTTGCCTTTCTCTAATCAATTTTGACTCAGAACATTTTTATATAACTTATCTAGATAACTTTGATTTCTTTTTCTGAAAATTTCCTGTTCATATTTTTTGACCATTTATCAACTGGGGACTGGCTGTTATTTTTATAAATTTGACTCAGTTCCTCACATATTTGAGAAATGAAGCCTTTATCAGAAAAACTTGCTTAAAATTTTTTGATATTACTTCATTATCCTTTTATTATATATAATATATATTATGTATATAATGTACATTGTATATTATCATATATCTTATTATATATTATATCATCTATATGTTATGTATCATATATATTTTATTATTTCACATCCCTGATTCTTCAAGTAACTTTAATGGTGTCCATGTTGGGTACTCTTTTTTTTGAGACAGATCACAGCCTCTCTCTAACTTAGTGGATGTTCTTTGAGAGTTGCTGTGATCAAAGCATTCGTTACTCTACAGCTGTCAGAACGAGCACCTCCCTTCAGATCCCACCTCTGACACTTGTTACTTGTGTGACCCTGGCCTCCCTGAGCCTATTTCCTGATCCAGAAAATAAGGGGATTAGACTGGATGGTCTCTGAAGCCCAACCAGCTCTACATATAAAAAGCCTTCTGGGGGAACTTAGCAAGGCTATCCTCAGACACCAAGGTATTCAGTCCATCATTGGGGCCATATTTGAAGCCTTCCATGTTGGTGGGACTCATCAGAGATTTTGCTTCACGGGCCTGACTTTCTAGACCTAAAGTTCTGTATCTATCTTCCTCTTCATTTAATTCTCTGTAGGCAGGTGCAAGAAGCTCCATGTGCTTTAGGGTAGGGGTGAGTAGGAATCCCAAAGCCCAGTCATACTAGGCACAGACCACATTTTCACAATGCTATAGTTGGGAAGGATGTCCTGCTGGAGGATGATTAATTTTCTATTTATTTGAATGAATTTCTGCTATGGTAAATAGCTGTTAGTAGTGTGACATTTGGTAATGAACATATTACTTAAAAGCATCACCATCTGTCCAACTTTAATCAACAGTGCAGTGAGAATAAATTCTGCTAATACAGTGATAAGCAAGCAAAAGGTCCAGAAAGGGGATTTAATATGGGCATACGTTTGCTTTGCAGTTAGTGCATTTCTATAATGTTTTTTCATTAGTTTCCTGGTGTCAACTATAGACTAGCCACCATGTTTGGCTTTTTCATATTTTAGGGCCAGAAGGAGCCCTACAGCTCATCTAGTCCAACTCCTTCATTTTAAAGATGAGGAAACTGAGGCCCAGAGAAGGGAAATTCTTTTTTCTCAAATTTGCGGAGATGATTTTCTCCAAGTTACCGAGTAGCAAAGCTAAGATGAAAACTCTGGTCTCCTGACTTTCTGCTGTGTCTCTCAGACACAGTGTAGAAAACTTCACCTAAAATGCTGGAAGGATTCTAATATTTATTATTTTAATGATTAAATTGTGGAACCAGCTCCACCTCACCCTTTTTTGGACTGGAGCTAGGATTTCTTCAGTGTAGGGAGCTCCTCCAGAGGAACGTAGGCGGATGGCATTTCTACAGCAACGTGTTGTCTTAGAGAGTTTCCTGGAGGCTGTTG